CGGGCCTTCCTGTGGGGGGGGGGCCTCTCCCTCCAAGCAATAACCGCCTCCCCACCCGCCTTCCTATCCTCCACGCCAGAAGTCGTGTCGAGCAAGGTTAGCATTCTCTCTCTTCATACTGTATTTTGTGTCATATTTTTGTGGTTTAAAAAACAACAAAACATATGGTTCAGAATGGATTAACCGTAATTACATTGAACCTTATGGGGAAATTTGATTCGGGACGTGACCAAAATCGGTTGGCGACCAAATTTGGAGGGGTCAGAATGAATTAACCGTATTTACATTGAACCTTATGGGGAAATTTGATTCGGGACGTGACCAAAATCGGTTGGCGACCAAATTTGGAGGGGTCAGAATGAATTAACCGTATTTACATTGAACCTTATGGGGAAATTTGATTCGGGACGTGACCAAAATCGGTTGGCGACCAAATTTGGAGGGGTCAGAATGAATTAACCGTATTTACATTGAACCTTATGGGGAAATTTGATTCCGGTTGCGACCAATTCGGGTCCCAACCAGAGTCGCGGAACGAATTAAGTTTGTGACCCGAGGTACCACTGTATAGGTCTAAATCAGTATTTTTCAAACTTGGCAACTTTAAGATGAGTGGACTCCCATGAATTCTGGGAGTCGAAGTCCACTCATCTTAAAGTTGCTAAGCTGAAAAACACTGGTCTAAATCAAGACTGCCTCAGCAGTTGGCAGCACCTAGCTCCCCTTGGCTGACTTTTGAAGCTAAGGGTTGTTGCTCCTGGTTAGTACTTGGCTGAGAGACCTACTCTGAATTCCAGAGCTGTTGGCTAGATTGGGAGATCAAAACAAAATTCCAGAAGGGGACAATGGCAAACCCTTCTGTATTCTACAGCAATAAAACTACATGGATGCAGTGAACTGGAATGGAACTCATCTGGAAGATATCTTTACTTAAATCAAGACTAACATTTCTCCTACTTTTATGCCATAAGTGTTAAATTCATAGAGCATACTAGGAAGGTTTATTGTGACATATTCTAAAGCAGTTTTTTTTCAAACTTGCCCACTTTAAGATGTGTGGATTTCAACTGCCAGAATTCCCCTTGCTGGCTGAGGAATTCAGGGAGTTGAAGTCCACACATCTTAAAGTTGCCAAGTTTGGGAAATGCTATTCTAAAGAGTTGCCATTGTTGACATGGAAGCTCCAGTTAGTACAGAAGCCTGGCTGTCAAAATTCTTGGTTCAGCAGCTGGAGCCATGTTGCTTCCATTTTGAAAGAACTTAATTGTCAACCTATTTGCCTCCATGTCCAGTTAAAGGTTTTGAGACTGACCTACAAAAGCCTAAATAGAATGGGTTCCTAATACTTGGAAATAACAGCCTTTCTTACACTGTTTGCCTTTGGCTGGTTTTTCCTGTTGTGCTAAGCTAAAATATGTTGGTTTGGAATCGCAAGTTGCATAAGTCCAACCACTGTAAGCATAGACTGTGGCTTAATATGTTATATGAATCTAGATATTATGGCTTCTTCAACAAACTCCATTCTAGCTAAGCAAGGGTTAGAATAATGTGTGAACTCAGTCTGTATGCAGCTTGATGTCCTTCTCCAAGTCCCAGAATAAATGGAGCAAAGGCCCCAAGCCATCACAACCTGATTTTTTTTAGATAGGTAAGTAGGTAGACTTCAAACTCCCAGCCAGGTGGCAGCACCAAGCCAACTTTGGCTGATCTTGGAAAGCTAAGAAGGAGTTGCCTCTGGTTAGACTACAGAACACAGAAAATCCCAGGCTGAAAGCTAGATAGGAAAGTTGGAAAAAAAAATCTGGAAAGAAGACAATGGCAAATAATTCCATATTGTTGCCAAAAAAAAAAAAAAACTCCTACATGAGACATCCTTGGAGTTATCAAACACTTGATCTCAAAGAGATTATATCTTTCAAATATGCAGCACCTCACCTGTCATGGCACAGGTCAATAAAACTACAGTACACCTGCATTTGATTGTGTAACTCTGTTGATAATTTATCTTGGTTGTAAAACTTATCCTCGGTTCTTCCTTGCTTCCATTATAAAAATATCACTGCAGAGAACTAAACTTTCTAAAAGACAGAACCTCAAATGAACGAATAGTCTATCAAATAAAAAAAAAAGCTTTGGAATTTTCAACATCATGTATAAATTGGCTGCACTTATAATTAAACAGCACATAATTTTTCTGAAATTAAAAAAAAAAGTGTACAGAATAGTGCCTTTCTTGATTTGAGAATTATAGTCTAGAGATATTATAATGCCGTGGTTAGAGAGCTAAACCTGAAATCTCCACTCAGTCCTGAAGCTTCTTGGGGAGATGTTGAGCCAGTCATTCTCTTATTCTCTTTGTACCTATTGGACGTTACAGGATTGTCATGAAGTTATCATGAGGTTGGGGAGACAGTCTTGAACTCCAGGAGAGAAGGGAGGATATAACAGTAATCAATCAGACAATATACAAGCATGTAACTGACTTCTGTTCCTCCTCCACTTCCTTTTTGAAACCATAGGTACCAACTCCAGAGATCCTTGCTCATAATTTGTACTTTGATCTCTCTGCTTATGGCATGGATCCATCAGCCACAAAAACAGAAGTTCCAAAAACTGCGTTCCACCTCAAAATCTATGGCACATTCCGCAATCGCTGTTTGGCTTTGGCATGTCCTGCTTCTGACTCCAAAGTTGTACGGTTCCTCCATCACACACTCAGTTCTACTGTGAGTATCTAGGCTATTGTTCTGCTCTTAGCATCAGAGAGGTGAAAGAGGAGGGAGGCTCTTAGTTCATTTAGTCCATTAGGAAGTTCGTTTCAAAATTCAGCAGTCAGGAAGCAAGTCTCCTGTTGGTTTATCTAAACCAGAGATGTATATTTAGTAAGTCCAGGGTCCCACATGCTCCCCTCCCTGCCAAGCCTGCAGATGTAACCACCAAACACTCTACCAAAGTTGCAGCTGGACTGCTACTTTTAAGTGATTTAACAAGGGAGTAAGTAATATATTGAAATAAATATACATGTAATATATTTATTACAATTATTGATCAGCACAACACCCAGAAAAGAAAGTGTAGCAGGGTTTAGAGAATTGTTTTATGTATTAAGGACATTTTGGTGCAAAACTCTGCCATGTCACTTGTTCTTGATAGGCACTGATCTTGTACTAAGAACTGTATATACCTTTCCAATGGGAAAGTTATTAAATTCATGACAGGATAATCATATGAGTATGTAATTTGCTATGATTTAAATATCAATCAATCAAATCTTTATTACGGTCATAGACCAATACAGATTTAAATATCAGTTTCAATGAAATTAAATCAAATTTACAAAAAAATGATGCAAAATGTTTTTGTCCTGGTCCTACCCATTATTTTGTCTTAGCCCTTGGTACTCTATTCTGCATCTCTGATGTAAATATTTGAGATCTGTCTTTTGAATTGATTTTTTTCCATGCAGCTGACGCAGGTTGTAGATACAATGGGTGAGTCATCTTGAAAGCTCATGCCCTGTTATTAGACTACTGGTTGAAGAAAAATTCTGTATTCATTACTCCAAATGAATCATAGCAATACCAAATACATAACTGCTTAGCAGAAACTCAGTGTCTTCCACTTAGGGGCCCACACTTTTTTAACTGACATTGAGGAGTGAAGCAATGGTATCACTTGGAGAGATGGGGCTGGGCTTTCTGGCCCTTCTAGGGATGGGAGAGTTGTTTTCACTCACAGTAGTAAAGTAGTACTTTTGTGCTTCCTTGGTTTGAAAAATGGGAAACAAGGACACCACTAAAAATGAGTGATTTTGTCATTGCATTTTGGTAGTACAAGCATGGAAGTGGAGAAACTCTAAATGCTCCTTTCTTGCCCTGGGTATCATGTTTTAAAGCCTAAAGGCACCAGTCAAACATAGGAAGTGGTTTTACTTGGATATATAGAATTCAAGGTTTTACAAAGAAAAGAAAAGAGCTATTTCCAAGGTCCACAGCTGAAGCCAAGGTAGGGAAGTTCAAAAATTCCAGAAATCCAGACAGGGAACTCTACCACAGGCACCAAACATTATACCAGTTAATTAGAAAGATCAGTTGCTATATTCTCAGCAGTATTCCCTGGGCCAACAGCTTGTTTCCTTACAAGTCTTAGATCTGGAGATGCCTCCTGGGCCTGACATGGCCCATGGGGAACAAGTCTAACCTCCCTCAGCTAGATTTGACCAAGATTTAACACCTTGGTGCCACCAGTCCAAAGATCTTTTCATACAACTTCATCAAACTTACCTCAGATGGTGATGGGACCAAAATATTATCTGCTTCTGAAGATTTTAGAGCCTTGGCAGGTTCGTAAGGGAAAGACATTCCTTCAAATAGACTGATCCCAAGTTATTTAGGATGCTATAGCTCTTTGAACTGAACCTGGAAACGGGCTAGTATTAAGTGGAGCTGCTTTAAGAACAGAGTCATATGCTGTGTATCACCAGCCCTGGTCATTGACATGTCATTCTGATCTAGCTGAAGCTCTAAACCCTCTTCAAAAGTGCCCCAATGTAAGATGTACTTCAATACTTCATTATAATAAATCTAACATATCTACTTTCCTCCAAACAAACAGTAAGGTTGATTTTGTTCTTATTTTCTTTCCCTGTTAACTTTTTGGGTCCTGTCTCTTGGGTTCCTCCCTGGTACCAGTTCCTTGTCTTTCATCAAGACATAGCCATGTGACATCATTAGGTCCCACCTTATGACATCATTAGACTTCATCTGGAGATGTTAACTCCCTCCCTCTCCCCTCACATTTCAGGTGTAAATCTAGAAAATGTTGCTGGTTAGTGGTGTTATAATAGCAGCATCCATGCTAGCTCTTCTGTTCTGCTTAGCTCTGCAAAAGGATCTTGGCTGTTCACCCTGTTTCTGGGTTATCATCAAGTAAGGCAGTTGGACACATTGCTTTTCATATCGTTAATCATTAAAGGATATCTCATTAGATCATTGCATTCTATTCAGACAGAAGTCCCATGAAGTCCAGTGGGGACTTTGTCTCAGTTAAGTGGGATAGAACTGCTGCTTAATTCATTTTGTTTAATATATGTGCATATTTTTACACCGAGAAAAGTATCAATTATGTTCACCCCCCACCAAAAAAAAAAAAGAATGAAAGAGGGGGTCTCATTTCGGTGACCCATATTTCCAATTGCAATTTATTAATGGAAAATGGTAGAGCAATTCTTTCCCTTTTAGGCTTTTCATTGCAGATTTAAGTTATTAACAATAATACCCTAGAAGAACAAAATCTCTAATTTCAAATAGAGTGAATCTGTGAATCTCTAGTGAATCTGTTCTGAGAGGTCTGGGGAAGGAGAAGTATTGTGAGATTTTCCTTGGTTTAACCATGTTCAAAGTTGGAGAGTTCATCAATCTTCATGTGTCCTTGTGCTTTTCTTAGTAATAATGTGGAAGCAAGTTGCTACTGGTTTCTTTGAGAATTCCTTTTCACATTCTTGGTTTAGCCTACAGTCCCAGAATCTCCCAATATGCTCCTATCTAAATACTAATACTGGCCCTGGTTAAGGGTCTAGGCAGGGCTGGAGCAGCCTCAGTGGAGGCTTAGTTTTAGGAGGTAAAATAAAATAACATATTGCACTTATTAGCATTTGTCTGTTCTTTTTCTCTCTTTTTCTCTCATTACTTCAGATGTAGTAATTGTTTTGGGCTTAGAGGAAGACAGCTGAGATATAACTAAAACGTCAGCCCCAGTTATAGCAGTTTTGTCCACATCTTTTGTTACAATTTTTAGGTCCTTAACATTTACTATAAATAAGTAATATGAGATTGCTGTTATGTGTGTTGTTTATGTCTGTCTATTTCTTTCTTAGCGAGACCCAATTTTCTTTGACAGAATGACTGGGGGGACTTAAGATTGGAAAGGATGAGAACCATCATGTTCTCCCTTTCATAACCAACAGAGTCAAGTGGTTTCCACATCCAGACTTTTGAACTCTTGACAACGCAGAGTTAATATAGATGTTTAACAATTTAACGAGATCTGTCCTGATTTAGAGATACCCAGGGCTTGACCTGACCTAACCTGCTCTTGCTATACCCCAAGACTTGTCATGAATTTTGGAATATAAGGATTGTTAATGTAACATCCTCATGCATCGATCATTCAGAAATGTGGCTTTTGCTTTATGGAGAATGGCACACGGAGTGAAAGGGCAACTCAGATCACAACAGTATTGTGATGGCCTTCACATATGGCACTTTTAATCCATTTGGTGCTAGAAAATAATTAACAAGGATGGCCTTTGAAGTACTTACGTTGTGAATTTTGTTCTGCTCCATTAACTTATGAGAACAAACATTGTATTTTAAGAGTTTAAGGGCTTCAAGTACTATTTCTATCACCAATCACTTTCATCAGAGGTTTGAGCTATAAAGTGCTTTTTTTATGGTTCTGTCAACTTGGAATGAAAAGGACAGAACAACTGGATGGCTTATGCTCCATAGTTTCATTATAATTGTGGTCACCTATTACACAAAGCCATGATTTCTTTAACCCTGGATTGTGGAGTCAATCATAATTGACAGGTAAGTGTTGAAACTGTTACAAAACCATAGTAGCTGTCTTTGTAGAACAGATGAGGCGAAACCCAAAACCTCAACTTCATCTGAATATTTATTTAATCTTTGCATTTATATCTTACCTGCTTTTCTTAAACTCAAGCAAAGTACATGAAGATCCCCACTAATTTTATCCCTGGCACAACAACCCTGCAAAGTTAGTTGGACTGGGGGAAAAAATGATTGGCTAAAAGTCACTCAATGACCGTAACAATTTAGTGGGAACTGGAACGGGACCCAGATCTGGCAATTCAACACTACGTTATACTGGCTATTAGTTCAGTGAGTAAACTTCAATGAACATATGTGAGAAAAGAGAACACATGTGGGAAACATGCCTGATCTGACACACACAGATCACCAGTAAACTTAGATAGCTTTTAGAAGGGAATGAGATAATTGTATGGGCAGTAGGTTCATTCACACTTGTGAAGATAAAATGAGAGGTGTCCCAAGTCTCTATTTATTTATATATCAAATTTATATAGCCGTCCATCTCATAAGAAGTGGCTCTGGGTGGCATACAACAAAGATATAAAACAATAAAACATGTCAAAAGAACAATCATTATTAAAAAGTTTAAAAAGTATACAGCACACAAGAGATTAGATTGGTATGGGAGCCACCTCAAGATCTCACCGGTCCCCTGGGACCCCCAGGCCTCATGACAAAGCCAGGTCTTGAGGGACTTCTGGAAAGTAAGTAAGGATGGAGCTGATGTCACTTTAGGGGTGGGGGAGAGAATGTTCCATAAAGGAAAGGTAGGATATAAATGCAAAAAATAAATTAGAAAGTGGGGTACTGGTTAAGGCACTAGGCTAGAAACCAGGAGACCATGAGTTTTAATCTTACCTTAGGCACAAAGCCAGATGGCTGACTTTGGGCCAGTCGTTCCCTCTCAGCCCCACAAAGAAGGTAAGTGCAACCCACTTCCAAAATCTTGCCAAGAAAACTGCAGGGACCTGTCCATGTAATTGCCAGGAATCAAGACTGACTCAAAGGTATATTTCTTTTGAGAGTCAGTTGGGTATAGTATTTAATCTGCTGGACTTGGAGCAGGGAAACATGAGTTTAGTCCTGCCTTAGGAATGGGAGCCAGCTGGGTGACCTTATGTAATGGTTTGTGGGAATGACCTTGGGAGTCAGGAGGGGAGAAGTGCTTTCAGTCTTGCAAGGTTCTGTTACTGTAACCTTACAATAAATGTAGTGTTAGTCCTCGTGCTTTGTACTTCTTGCCTGGACTAACTTGAAGGGCTGACACCTTGGTCCAGTCCCTTTCTCTCAGCCCTAGGAAGGAGGCAATGCAAACCACTTCCAAAATCTTGCCAAGAAAACTGCAGGGACCTATCCAGGCTGTCACCAGGAATCAACACTGACTTGGAGGGACACAGACACACACAAAATAGGTTGTAAATAGCACGCTGTATTGGTCCATGGTTTATACCATGGTTTAGCATGACTGCTGTATTTGCCTGATCCCTTTTCTCAGCCATCTAATCCCGATGTCTTCAACATGTCTTGTGGCAGTGAGTGAAGCAACACCTTCTGTGAAGAAGTCAACCTGAATCAATGGTCAATAGTTTTGGCATGCCCAACATAAATGTATTGTCATCTGCTGTCTGGAAGTAATTTCAGCAAATCTAGTTGCAGTCAGGACACTCATGCTTTTGGACCTGGTTTCTCTTGCTAACAGATAATGAAAAGTATCTTCCAGCAGTCTTTCAATGCTTATAAGATGGATATTGAGCCAAGAATTTGTGAATCGTCTCTGCATTGTATCCAGTGCAGTCGGCGACTCTTTGAAATTATGCTATCCCATCGACGGGTTACCACAGCTCTCGTTGATAAGGACAACATTGTTGTCACTGTTGAAGGCGAAGCGGCCAGAATGCTGAATTTTGACACAGGTCAGATTTTCTGTCTAATAACCAAGGGATTATTTCACTATTAAAAGGGATGTGAACGGGAGATGAAAGAGGAACATTTGACAATGTTGTCCATTTCTTTCTTTCTTGCACCTGAGCCCTGATATTTGGGAGAATCATGGTAGATAATTACAAACTTTTAAAGAGACTACATCTCAGTCTGTACAATCAGGGTCACAGTTTCAGGGCAAATAATCCTCAGGGTGTTTAATCATCAAGTTGGTCAGAAAACTAGAAACTTCTGAAGAACCATCCCATGAGACTAACAAGTATCCCAATTTACAATTATAGTTGTAATTACAGGGATATATATATTGCTTTTTAATGCATTTTCTTGTTGTATAATGTTTTTCTTTCCTTTAGTTTTTGTGGATGGTAAATTGTTCACTTTTATTTTATTTTACATTATTTTATATGTGTTTGCTTGCAAATGGATTAATAAAAACTATCAGGTAAAAAAAAAGTACCCTGATTTACATATACTTCAAACACTGAAGATGGACAAGTAGAATCACAATACAAATTTGCAATGTGGAATATTTCTTCTGTTTGTAGATTCTAACCCCCATGTCCCCTTTCAGAATATACCACCCAATCGATGTCTTGCCAAGATTTCCACCTTTGCTAAAACATTGTATTGCCAATGAGTATTATCAGTCCTCATTCATTTAGTTTTGATGCTCCCCCGCCCCCAGTAGTTTTCTAAAAATGCTTTATATTCTTGAAAACAGATTGTGTGGGTGGATGGTGTCATTTTGTCTACTTAGGGTTCAGTATGACAGGTGAAGTGCTATTAATATATTATATATAGGCAGTTAGGATGATTCCTATCTAGAGAGTCCCAAATCCATCCTCTGGTCCTCACTGATTGTGTCCCAAATATTTAAATTAAATGGGCAGACAAGATTTAGAAGAGGAATAGGAAATTCTGGGGTAGTAGTAGAAATTCTGGAGTAGTACTAAGCTGCACATCAAGGCAAGAGGCAGTGCTAGGGTATATACAGGTAGTCCTTGCTTACCGACTGCTTGTTCAGCGACCGTTCAAAGTTACGATGGTGCTGAAAAAGAACTTGGAGAAGGAGCAATCTACAGGAAACTGAACAAGTCAAGGAAGCAAATGAATGGTATTTACTTCAGGAAATCTGTTTACCTCCGAAACAATAAAAACATTTAGCTAGAGAGATTGTGTAATATTACTTTCTTTTGACAGTGTATTTCAAAGCCTATGATACTGTCTTTGGTCTTTATGGAAACTCAGAAATTGTGTTGGTTAGCTAACAGACCAACAGCATCTTTTGGTCTTTTCAGAGTCACATTTTCTTGGATATTTTTCTGTTGGAGAAAAATACTTCAAGATTTCCCCAACTGTTTTTATCTCTTCCACCAGCAGGTTGTTTTGCAAATGCTTACTTTTTTATATATGTATCTTTTTTCTCCCCAGCTCTCTCTTTATCTCTTTTGAAATAGTTTTATCCTCCCCAAGGAAGGAGGATGGGGAGGAGGACCTGATTTTCCTAGTGATAGGCTTCAGTGCTACAAGGCCAGGAGCTGGTGCTATAGAACTGATTTCTTTTTTGATCAACGTGTTTCTTGTATTTGCCAGTAAGGTGCCCACGTTAGGGAAGCCCTATATTACATGCCAGGGTTAAAGGGGAGGATGCCATGTAAAGACATTCCCTGCAAAAGATAAATGGTAGTAGTGAGTAGTACTAAGTTGCACATCAAGACAAGAGGCAGTGCTAGGGTATATACAGGTAGTCCTCACTTACCGACTGCTCATTTAGCAACCATCCAAAGTTATGATGGTGCTGAAAAAGAAGATTTAGGACCAGTCCTTGAACTTGTGGCTCTTGCAGCATCCCCACAATCATGTGACTGCAATTCAGGTGCTTGGCAACCGGTGCACGTTTATGATGGTCACAGCGTCCCACAGTCACGTGATTGCCATTTGTGACCTTCTCAGCCAGCTTCTGACAAGCAGAGTCAATGGAGAAGCTGGCAGGAGGTCACATGTCATGGTCAGAGGATGTGGCACTTAATGACTGCAGGTGATTCGCTTAATGACCACAGTTGCAACTGACATAAGTTGGTGCTTTCATGTGATGTTTCTCTTTATGACTGTGCCACTTAGCAATGGAGTTGCTGGTCCCAATTGTGGTCAGTAAGTGAGGATTACCTGTACTCCCAAAAAGCTTCTTTGAGTGGAGGTTTGAGACCTCCATGTTTTGGCACAGCCTTGGCTGTACCAGTCCTTATAAATCCCGCTCATACTGATCACAACATTAATTTCCTTCTTTGGCTGTCTATACCAAAAAAATGTTTGCCAGTGAAGTAAATGAACCATTGTTCTTCTGGAACGTGACTGGAGTATCAGTACAATCTGAAAATAACAATAATTTATCTCCCTCCCCCCCCCCCCCCCCCTCTTCTTTTTTAAACTCACTCTGTGGCAGGCTCTGGAGTTAATCTCGGTCTGAGAGGTTTGGAGTCAATAGAAGAACTGATTTATAAGGTGGCCACCGCTGTGAATCAGCAGGATGTCTTTGAGGCCCTGGCAGCTAAAATCCAGCATTCCAAACAAGTGGTTGAAGATTTTAAGCAGAATGGATTATCTGCTACCATGTTTGAATGATCAGATCAGCCGCAGCAGAGATCTATGGGCATTCTTCTATCTTTCTGCACATGAAGAAAAGAGAGCCTTTTCTTTTCATTTAAGGAAGAAAAAAGACAAGCAGAATCAACACGTTTAATTATGATTAACCTTTTAATCAGATCAGGTAACATAAATTCAAATACATTTTAGAAAAAATAAAGGGACTTTGGGGTGAATCTCCCTTGAATTTATTCCCATAACAACAGCCCTATGTTATATGTTGGCTAAGTAATACTGACACTGAACTTTTTTTATCAGGGGTGAATTTAAACCCAAGTATCTTGTTCCAAGTGTAACCTAATATTTTATGCTTCTAACTATGGGGGAGATCTTCCATAATCCTACCCTGGTAACATCCGCCATTTGGAAAACACTGCAAAATTGGCTGTCCCAAGCAAATAATTCCACTCTAGTTTTATCTCCTGTTTTGATTCCATTTTATAGGGTTAAGTAATGTGAAACTGATGCAAAAAGATGTATTTCTGGATGCTTCCCTATGCGCCTGTACAGCTCCTGGTTTCCTCTGATTTTATTTTATTTTTAAAATCCTTTTGATTAAATAAATAAATAAATAAATAAGGGGGAAGTTGACAGCCTCTAGATTATTTTTATCTTCAGAAATGCCTTAGAAAATGAAAGGTGGGTGGCTATGCTGAAATGTTTTGCTTGAAAGTACTCCAGAATTCCCTGGAAAAATAGATTAAAGTGAGGTAGGTGATTCTGAGTGTTTGATTAGACAGAGAAGGAGCTTCAGTATTTGGCTGTATGCTAAGTGAGTGTTTTGTTCCTATTTCGCCATCAGCGTTCAATCATTTGGCACCTCATCCCTAATTCATTTGAGCAAGGCTGATTTGGAAAGCTGGATCAGGTTTGGTTAGCACTTGGATGGGAGACCACCAGTGAATAGAGTCATAGACTGGGGGGAAAAAAACCTGAGTAAGGGAATGGTAATGTCAAGCTCAACTTGGAGACTTCAGCTCTTAAAATCATTCCTATGAAAGCCAATTTAGGAAGGTGTTTACAAACTAGCATCTACTGTACAGGTGTGTGTCAAAATCTGTAAGTTGGCAGGTGCAATATAGTAGTCTAAGCTCCGCCCCTTTTGAATGAGCTCCTATGCAAAAGGGGTGGGGCTTTGGTCACAATTCTGTCCCCACCCCATCTTGCAGATTTTGACACCCCCAGCTGCCCATGAGGTCACTACATGCTTCCAATTACACTCTCCAGGGAATATACATGGCGTAGCCTTGTCTTATGTATTTATTCCCAAATTCAATTTAGCCCACAGAATTACCTTTTAAGGACAGTGTTTTCCAAAATCACCAGTTCAGCAATATTGGTATTAAAACCAACAGAAAATGCACTGAATGGACAGGTTTTGCTGTGGGAGTCCCAGCAGTATAGCTTATTGGTTAGGAACACCGCATCTGGCCTCCAGAAATCCAGATGACCACTACAGGATAGCAGAGAGATACAGAAAACAGTACATTGTTCCTGCTGTTGTACAGATTTTTGCAGCCTTAAGTTTATGGATGAGTGTATTCAATGAATTTGGGAAAGTGGCTTGAATACATTAGGGTTGTTATCCTCTTCAACTGGATGTGGCTAGTCTGTCTTCTGACTGACTCTGAGAAGTTAAATGAACCTTGGGCAATTTTAAGATGCACAAGAAGTTGGGCAAGACAGGTGCAGTTGAACTACCAGGCCCAAAAACAAGAAGTCAGAAACAGGGTCTTGGAGTGAAGATGTATTTGTAAGGCATTTTTTATTAGCAGGAACCCTTTTCTGAAAGTCTGCAGGAAGTTTATTTATCTGTCTGTCTGTCTGTCTGTCTGTCATCCATCCATCCATCCATCCATCCATC